TTCCCCACACCAGCATGTGCAGCCCTGGCCCAGTGGGGATCCTGGCCATGGCCTGGTGGGCTGTGAATGATGGGGTGTGAGCTGGGGGACAGATCTATGCCTGGTGCTTAGGGATTTCCTCCCCAACTCACAGCTGCATGCTGGGGAAAATGAGGAGGCATGGCTCATGCCTTTCTTTTCCCCCTTTGGCTGCCCTATTGCTTTGCTCACCCTAGACTCCCTGGCCATGGGCCCACGGCACTGCTGCAGCCCCCAGGCAGCCTGGGATGGCAATTCCAGGGCTGCTCACCTCCCGTTGGTGTTTAGAGAGGTGAGGATTTGCTGGATGCTTCCATCATAAACCTCAGCAGTGTGAACGATTATTCCTGATCTCAAAGGAGTGTGCTGGGAACAGAAATGGATGAACCCATGCACTATAGTACAGCGGCCAGATAGAACGTTTTATGGGGTATTTACTTTGCAGTGTGATGCTGAAGTACCTCTGGAGTTCAATCATTGCTGAAGTACATCTCCCCTGTCCTTTCAAGCTCATTAACCCCCAGATCCAGCCAGGTACTTGAAGGGTGCAGTGGTGCCTCTCTCAGGGGACCTCATATGTGCTGCTTTAGAATAAACCCCTCCAGCAGGGCAGAGAAGTGGAAGAGCCTTGCTTTGAGTTCTGCCTTTGTACTTCCCTGTAGATGGTTTAAGGCTCTTTGTAGCACGAGCAGCCCTTCTGGCAGTGTTCCTGCGAGCCCCCAGCACTGAGGGGTGCCCTCACGCCCAGATCTCAGCCAGCAGGAGGGGACCTGCTTCTGCTAGAGGCAGTTCTGATCTCACCTTGGTTATTCCCATGCATTTTGCTCCTTAAGTTTGGAGCTGCCTGACTCACAGAGCTCCTCCAAGCGCAGTGAGAGCTGCTTGTGCCTGAATCTTCTCATTACTTAAATCTCTAATGGGTTTTGTCCCTGAGTGGGGGGTTCCCGTTGCCCTGTGATTAGGGATGATGAATGTAAGCCCCTCAGTGGGCTCATGGAGATCTGCCTGGGAGTGGAGGCACTGGCTGCACCAGCACGAGTTCAGCACAAGTTCCCGCTGTGCAGGTCCTGCTGGATTTGCATGCTGGAGGACTGAGCTCCAGCATTATTATTCCAGCATGGATTTTTAGTCCTTTTTGGCAGATGTCAGCAACTCACAGGGTATAGCTCCTGGCCATAGTGGTCTCAGCAGCTCTACTCGTTGGCTAGATGGTGATCTGGTAGTTCTCTGTTGAGTACATCCTGCTGCCCAGAGTGTGCTGTTGATGAACCAGAGTGTTTTTCAGGGAATGGTGCTGCACAGATTGAGCACATTCTTAATCAGAACTCCCATCCCTCTGAGATGAATGCCTTTGAGGCTGCTCTGGCTCCCAACCTGATTGTATGCTGAATAAAGAGGTTAATATTCTCAGAGCTGGGAGATGCAAACTCCATTCCTGGGTCTTCTGTTGGTCCCCTGTTGTGATCTCTTGGGCAAGTTGTTACCCCCCTGTGCATCACGGTACCTTGCTGCAAGACAGATGTAGGGCTCATGAGATGCACTGGGGAGGGACTTTTTACTAGACATGTAGTGGTGGGAGCTGTAGAATGGTGAGCATTTACAGCAGGGGTGTACCATCCATCTTTGTAGAGTTGTGGAGCAGCCTTGTGCCACTGATCCCCAGCTACTGGGAAGTGATGGGGCTGGGATGAATCCGTCTTCTTGAGCTTCTCTGGGAAACCCCTTCCTATCTGGAAAATGCTTCTGGGTTTGAGACTCCCTCAGGGGCCTGCAGATACTTGAGGTTGTCCAGAACACTGGAGTAAACTGGCTTTTGAAGAAAACCAAGGCTGCAGGGCAGATCTGTGCTTTGCGCTGCAGCAGGTGGCCTGCTTGGGATAGGACAGTCACATCTGCTCACATCCCAGCTGCTTATAGAACTGGTGGAGAATGGAATGCCTTGGGAAGCAGCAGACAGCAGTGCTCTGGTTAGTGCTTCGTACTGAGAGAAGAAGAATTGAAATCTCTTGGGCACTGTCTTGGTCCTGGCAAAAGCAGAGGTGGAGCGTGGGGAGACTTTCCTTGGGCTGTGCTGGGAGGATGCAGAGGTGGAGTGAAGGCAGCTGAATGCCAGATGGGGAGGCTGCTGCAGCAGTTTGATGGCCTGGGGGCAAATAACTGCGGTGGTGAAGCGGTGGTGAAGCGAGGATGTAGAAAGTGACAGGAGAGGGATGCTGGGGGGGATGGAGCTGTGACCTTCCTGTCTGTACCACTGTGGCAAGAACCCTCTGCTCTGTGCTTAGCAAGTCTGTTGGCCTGCAGCAGCCGCGGGGCAGCAGCTCCACTCCCCCCCACAATGGTGGGATTTCTTTCAAGGCTCCCAAGCAATCTGCCTGCTGGCCACAGCTCCTCTTTGCAGGGATGGCCCATTTCTGCTGGCTCCTGGAGCAAAGAGATGACTTCTAAATTCTCTCCTGCCTTACAAACGCAGTTTGGTTTTGCTTTTTTTTCATTGAAATGTCTTTCTCTCCCCTTCCCAAGAAAGGGAATTGCAGCTAGCAGATCAGCAGCAATTAGCAAAGCAAACTGCTGTAATGACTCTATAGTGTGCTGTGTACAGCCTCTCTGAATGCCCTCAAGAAGCACATGCCAGGTCTTTGGGGATTTCTGCTTTGGGGAGGCAGGGCCAGGATGTGGCCCCACACAAGAGGAGATACACAGCAGGGGCTGTTCTGGGCAGGCAGCTCACTGCCTCCAGAGAGCCTGGTCTCTGCGCTTGGAGCAGACCTCTTTGATCACAGCACCGGAGATGAAGAACCAGGTGTGGGCTGCAGGACCAGCGCTGGTTGCAGGGTCTCTCAACAAGGCTAGGTAATGTGGAGCTCAGCAGCCAGCTGTACCTCCTGAGCTGCAATAGGTCCTGCAAGTGCCTGTGGCTGCCCAGGCTTTGTCAGTATTTGATCTCAGTTCTCCTTGTCTCGCTGCTGTTCAAGAGTACATCCAGGAAAGCGCTGGACTCGGGTACTGCTTTCCCATCCATTACTGATGATTCTCTTTTCATTTGCTTTTTGGGCTTCACCTTTTTAATCCAGCTGTCTCCTGCCTTACAAATGTTCTTTCCTCAATTACTTACACCCAGCTGCAGGGCTGGTTCTGCTCACCGCAGAACACGATGAAGCTGTGCACTCAGCTGGAGCTTCACAAACTGAATTCACGAGAACCTGCAGCAGGAGGGCCCCTCTGCCCCATGGGTGTCAGCCCTGGGTGCCATCTGGGTTGCCCTGGCACAAGGGGGGCCTCCACCCTGCACTTCCACTTCTGACCATGTCACAGGTGGCTTCTTCTGCCCATCTGTGTCCTGCAGAGAGTTGGGTGCTGATTGCCCACCTCTGCCTTCATATAGGCTGCTGTTTTTTTAATCCTTCTCTCTGAACTGGTGCAGATGCAGGGTTATGTTTCAAAGCTAAAGGAAGAAAAGGTGCTTTGCTTTCACCAAAGGAGGAGCAAGGTAGAAAGCAAATAGCTTGTGTGTTCTGCTTTAGCAGCTGTCAAGGTTCTATCTGGTCCACACAACATGTGCTGGTTGTTTGGAAGCCACTCAGGTGATGGTGACTCTGGATATGAATGCCTCTGAAGAAGAGAAGGCAGAAAAAGTCTCCTTTCTGGAATGAGGGACTGTGGGCAGAGATCCTCCCCACTTCATGATCTCCTGATAGGGACAGTGCCATCCTTTTTCCCACTTGGCATTTCAGGATCCAGGCATGAAATATGGGCTCTAGGAGCAACCCTCTCTCCTGCGGCCTGCCCTCTGTAAGTGCTCCTCCATCTCACGCACTGAGGGGGCTGCAGGCATTGGGGAGACAGGTCTTGCTTGAAAGCATATGATGAGCTGCCCTCAGGTGCCAGGGGAACCCCATAGGTAATTCTGCCGTGCTACTTCCTAGGCAAGGGACCAGTTCGTACCATTTCTGTACCAAGGCTGCCTTAACTCTTCTTAATACTCTTATCTTGAAGGCTCCCTCAGATTAAAGCCCAAGCAGTCAGTCCCCTCCTTGGATTTAATGCAATGCAGTTTTCTTGCACTAATCCGATCAGAGTATAAGCTGCTCTTTTCATAGTGTACGGGGAGAACAGATGTGCATGTCACTGGTACGGTGAGCTGGGCTGACAGAAAGCAGCAGGAGGGTGCCCTGCTCTTTGCCTTGGTGGCACATGTGGCTGTTTTCATGGCTTGAACTCCATCTCTCCTATAGACAGTTTTGAAATGTCTGAGCGCACCAGCAGCCTTAAAGGAAGAAGGGTTGCTTTGGAGCGGGGTTGTGGAGTCTGTTGACTATCTCAGACACGCTGATAAAGCTGACGTCCAACCTTTGGTCTCTGGCAGCCATGGAGACCCTGGAGTTGGGGTAATGGTGCTGGCCATTTCAGTAAAACCCTGAGGGTTCACACCTCAGAGCAAGGGCTCAGGTGACAAATGAGAACTTGACCTCAACAGTAGGACTGCCTTGCTGGGCTGTTTTTTCTCAATGAGTTCACAAGTCCATGGCCATGCTTGGAGCAAGGCTGGAGAAGTTAGATATGGGCTCCCATCCCTGCCATGTTTCTTCCTTGCCTCTGCTTCTTGCTCTGCTGAAGGACCAGGAGCTGAGATCATTCCTCTGCCTGGGGAGCGACCTGTGAGTGCTCTCCCAGCCCATCCTTGAGTGCCCTGTGGGTCATGTCTGCTGAGTGTGCTCCCAGGAAAGGCAGGGGCGCATGGAGAAGCTGGGAAGGGATGGAGAGGAGTGTGTGGCTGTAAGTGTGCACTGAACCTGAAAAGTGGTGATGCATCTTTGGTCTGAGAAGTGTCTTAGCTGGGTGCTTCCCTCTCTTTGTGGGCCTGAAGAGACCCAGGGTGTGGGAAAGGGGGGAGGGTGATTCTCTTGCAGTGGGGAAGGAACAGTGGATAACTCCAGTCTTTTGACCCTCCTCAGCCCAAGGAGAGTGGTGGGCACGGTCTCACATCTGCCACCCAGCTCTTCCAGCTGTGCAGCCAGTGCATGGACCAGCAACGTCCCCCAGATCACGCCTGACAGCAGCATCCTGGCAGAAGAGGCACCTCGGAGAGCAGCGTTCAGACTGTGAGTGCTCTGGGAACCACGGGCAGGGCAGAACCCTGTGGTCAGGGTCTCATTCCGCAGATGTCCTTGGGGTGAAAGGCAAGAGGAGCTTGTGGGTCTGGGGAAGCTGTGGAGTTCTCTTTGCTCGTGTTGCGGGTGCCCTATGAGGAAAGAGGAGAGCCTGGGCACAAGGCAGCAGGGATAGAGGAAGGTTGCTGCTGGCAGGGTAAGGGGGCACATGGGTACAATCCGACATGCAAGGTGCTGGTGTGGCCTCAGTGGCTGGGGGAAACAGATGGCCTGAGCAGATGGGTGGCTCAAGGACTCTGGTGTGCTGGAGCAAGGAGAGCCGCAATGGAATCTGCTCAGGCAGAGAAGGAAGCTGCTGCAAGGAAAGACTGAGGCTGCCTCCAAGGACTGCCTTGACACGTGGAAGGTGCTCTGCACATCTGCGCATTTGCATTGCTGCAAAGCACCGTTTCACATTTTCTGAGCGAGATTGTCCAATTCTGCAGCCCTCCCTGTGGGAGAGCCTATATTTCTCCCCTAAGGAGAAAGATGAACTTGTGCCGAGGACAGGGCTCTGGATTCAAGGAGTGTTTTTGCAGCTGCTAAGGTCCACCGGGAAGGAGTTTGTTCTGAAAGTAGCAGACACTTGAGAAATAGTAAATAGACAGGGTAGTCCTATGGAGGATTAATCACGTGCCTCCCCTGCATCAGGAGCAATCTGCTGCTGCACCCTGGGATGTGACACCAGCTCCAGCAGCAGCTCAGTATTCAAAAGGTCTTAATTTGGTCTCCCAAAGGAAGATGGCCATAAAATCCAGTAATCATCATGATAGCAGATCTTTTTGCCCATCATCTAGGCCAGTAAAGTAGTGTCTTTGTAGCCTTCTGGGATCATTCAGAAAGAAGAGGCGTATGATTTCCTGCAGGCTTAAATTGAGGGTACGTGGAGATTTCTGTTTCGTATCAGGTTTTTGACTGGCACTGCAGAGACCTCAGGGAGTTTTGAGGGTGAGGGTGGGCATGTGTACCTGAGGGATGGATTGTGCACCCAATAAGGCTGCTGTGTTGGGCTGAGGAACAGATCATGCACAGCCTTATTCCCTTCTGTGCAGTAGAAAAGACCATCTGAAAAATTCCTACTGCATAGCACATGCACAAACAAAACCCATCCAACAAAGCAAGCGTGTAGCGATGACTGAGACATAGCAATGGGTCTGATCAACGCTTATAAATATCTAACGGCAGGAACCAAGTGGGATGGGGCCAGGCTCTTTTCAGTGGGGTACAGCAACAGGACAAGGGGCAATGGACACAAACTGGAACACAGGAAGTTCTGTCTGAACACGAGGAAGAACTTCTCTGCAGTAAGAGTGCCCGAACCCTGGCACAGGCTGTGCAGAGAGATATCCAAACCCACCTGGATGCCTTCCTGTGCGACCTGCTCTGGGGAACCTGCTTTAGGGTTTGGGGCTGGGGGACTTCCAGAGGTCCCTTCCAACCCCTACGATTCTGTGATTCTCTGAATTGCCAGGGGAACACCAAGGAAGTAAGAAAGGCAAGTCTACAGTAGAGACCTGAGAGCAAATAGTCGCAGTTCTTATGGGTCACAGAGGCAGATGGGTGACGGGGGACGAATGACATCCTCAAGGTAGGAGAAAACTCTGGGATTGCCTCTAGGCACTGGGAGTCCTCCACACTGGGCACATGGCTGGGACTGCCTCTCTGCCATGGCACAGTGGCAGCATTGGCCCTAGTCCCTGGCAGGAGGAGTTCTGTTCAATAGCAGCAGGGCGTTTCCTGCTTCCAAACCTCCTGGTAATCACCTATCTACCACTTTCCCTTAATTGCTGTTGCTTGATTTCTCCCCGGGTTCTCTTTTATTTATGTAGGTGACATGTTTTGTTCAAAGCACTTAATTACCTCTTGGGATGCATTTCATTTATTCATTAAGGTAGAAATTGGAGTTGTTGGGTTTGCTTTATTTTGCTATTTTTTCCTTCGTTTTATCTCTCCTCAATACTGGAAGGAGAGGGATTAGAAAGTCCATATACATCCAGCCCATCTCCTGGCCCCAGACGGTCCTATTGCTCTGGCACTAAGGAGCAGCAATGGGAGTAACATTTCTCCCAGGAGGCTGATGGCATGCTGTGGCTCCTCAGAACCTGGGAGGCAAATGACTGGTGCCAAAAGCACTGCTGGGAGCTGCTGGAGGCACAGGCCAGATGACAGGTGTTCCAACACAGGGCATTGCTGAAGGAGGAGCTGTCAGCTGGGACCACCATTCACTGGTCACTGCAGTCATGCCTGGCAGGCTAGATAAGCAGCATCATTATCAGAGACAGGGCCATCTCCTTCTCTCTGACCTGGGCATGAGAGAGGATGGAAGCCCTGGAGTTTTGCTCTAGGGTGGGGACGAAGGATGTGTGCACGGGGTGTGCTCCTGCCCTGCCTGGGTGACTGAAAGATGTTTACTATGCTGGCATTTTCCCTTACCAAGAGCCTGCAAAAATGCTCCACACCTTCTACACTTGCTTGCTCAGCAAGGACACGAGGCATTGCTGGATGGCTCAAAGCCATTTCCAGCTCCTGTCATAAAGCCATGTCTACCTCTGCTCCCTGGCTCCATGGAACAGGCAGGGCACATGCAGAGCATTGTGGACTGCTGGATGCAGCAGTGATCTTGGGGCAGCCTGATTGTGGGCACTGCTGTGTTGGCTTCCTTTGTGCTTTATGGTGTGATCAAGCAGAAGCTGTGCACCAAGGGTGGTGGTTTGGTGGTGCTCAGAAGGATGGAGCAGTCAGCATTTCTCTCTTGCTAGAGTTGCCCTTCCCACAGGGAAGGACACATGGCAGAGGCACACAGCACAGTGTGGCATGCACAGTGCTCCATTGGTACAGCCACCTCTGGGTGCCTCTGTCCTCACGTGTTGTGTGTCAATGGAAACAAAGGCCCAGCCTCTCCTTGCACATCTCCCTGGCACACAAGCGTTCCCATCAAGCCAGTTGTGTTTGCAGTTCCTTTTTTTCTGCTACTTGTGCACAAGACAGATCAGGTATGTGCCCACTGCCAGCCCAGCTTCCTTTCTGTCTCCCTGGAGATGGAGTCATAGAGGTGGACCTGGAGCTGCTCTTCTCCCTCTGCTCTTTCTGCCAAGGAGGCCAAACCCCTCGTTGCACCGGTCTGGGAGCAGATGAGTCCTTCTGCTGTGCTTTCATCATGGCTTAAGCAAGGACCTTCTTGCAATCCTGCTCTGGTTGCTCACATTCCATTTCTTTAGAAAAGAGTTTTCTGCTTTTATGGTTCTTTCAGGAAGTACCAGAAAATGCACATGTTAAGGCCTTTGTCTTGCCATGTTTCACTACAGCTCTTTTCTCACTCTATATTTGAGGTTCCATGCAGGGAATTTTGAACCAAAACAGCTCCTGCCATTGGGGACATGGCAGCGGCTGCACTGAGTGACCCTCCATTATTGATTGTGAGAAAAAATGACTTATATTAATTGAAAGGGAAAAGTATTGCACTACAAACCTCCATCCCTTTGCTGCCTCATGTGTGTGCACAGAGGCCCCTGGGACAGTTGCTGTCTGTTCTGCTTAATTGCACGCATCACTCCTTGCTCTCCCTTTGGATCTGGAGGTGCTAACACAGCCAGGCTGCACGAGGTGGCACGTCTGCCGTGCAGCGTGTGAGGCCGGAAAGAGCTGCTGGTCTGCAGGGAAAGCCCTGCAGAGCCGTTGTACGCTGTGGGGAGAATCTGAAATTAAAAACTAAGAAGTAAGACTGATTAAGATCCTAGAGCATTGAGAAGAGGCAGCTTCCTACTGCTAATGGCCTTTTTTAGTATCTTCAAGAAAAGTTTAATCTGAGCCTCTGGCTTCGCTTGTTGGCACACACACACCATACAGAGCCCACAAATGAGAGCAGGATTGGCCTAAGCCTTGGTCAACACCAGTCTGTCTGGGAGGGAGGGCCTAAGGGGCCTGCAGTCTTGCTTTCTTAAATGCAGTAGAAGGCAGGTGAAGGAGGACAGGATAGTGAGCTTTTGCATTGTTGAGCCCAACACCTGCTTCATATTCACCAGGTTTCCTCTTGAGAAAGAAATGTGTCCCTGAGCACACGTGGCCAAGGACTCATCCTTTCCAAAGGGCTGGCACAGACTGGAGCAGTGGTGTTTCTCAGGTGGTGAGGGTTCGCTGGAGAGGAGTCCTCTGAGCTGATGTTTAGCCTGAAGAAATGTTGTAAGACAAGGTAAACAAATGAGGCCATGAAAACTAACTCCTGACTTGCAGACTCAAGCTTGAAGTGGGAAAGGTTTGGGCTGCCCAGAAAGTCAGCTTCTACATTTAAACATTAAGAGTCTTCGAGATTGTAGAGCAAAGAAAGGCGATAGCAGAGCCTTTATTTGAGAAATAGGTGCTATATGAAAAGATATCAAAGAGAAATTAACTCACCCCTCCCAGTAACAGTTTGGAGAGAGGGGTGAGCTGAGGAATGCAGCCTGCGTACTGACTGGGCTGGAGAAGGCAGGGGGAAGGGGGACCCACACAGACGAGGTTTGCACACGCGCTCTCAGAAGCATCAGGAGACGGGATGCCCCCAGGCCAGGCGCTCGCTGCCGATGTATCTGTTCAAGCTGTGACCTTGGAATTCCACTACAGAGATTGTCCTGTTTTTCACACTCTGAAGGCCACTGGTGGAGACTCCTTCTGGGAACTTACTAACTTAAAGACTTGTCAAAGCAAAGCTTGGTGACTGACTTTTTGCATGGGCAGATAGTGACAGGACAAGGGGGAATGGCTTTAAACTAAAAAAGGGGAGATTTAGGCCAGATGCGAGGAGGAAGTTCTCTACACAGAGGCGCTGCGGCCCGGCACTGCTGCCCAGAGCTGCGGGTGCCCCATCCCTGCAGGCGCCCGAGGCTGCGGCTGGGTGCTCAGCAGCCTGAGCTGGGGAGCAGCCCGGACAGCGGGGTGAGGCAGGGGGGCCCTTCTGTCTGAGCCGTGCTGGGTCT